GCCCCAAACAAAATGCCTGCTACGCAATCTATCATTCTAATGGGCGAAATCAATGCATACGTCAGAACAGATATTGGAAATTGGCAAGTAGTGATTGGGGAAAACGGCCGTAGCGTTTTTAAAAAGTATGGAGTTGTATTGTGCGTTTGCAGTAACAATAAACTGCTTACCATAAGCATATTTTTCGAGCATCGAAAATTGCATCAGTATACCTCTTAGGATGGAAAGTTCGAACAGTTTGCGTACAGAACTTGAGGATCGCTTTGATAATCGCATCTTCTGACGACATTCTCTAATAGATGTTCCTGTTAAGAACAGGCGAAGAACGGCGGATGATTGCTACCTTGTCTTTGTCCATTTCTGCTGCAAAAAGCAGATCAGCATGCGAAAAGTTGGCGTCAGAAAAGGCGGGAGCATCGCATGGAGCACGTCATCTACTGTGGATATCATGGCGAAAGTAGCAGACGGCATTGAATGATGGCTTGAGCAAATCTCAACGATGTCAGTTGACGGGAACGGAAAGGAACTTATTTAAGTCGCATTTCCAGGGTTTCTCGTGAATGATTCGGTTTAAAACGCATTAGGTTATTGCTCGGAAAACAGAAACAAATGTCCACTTGGGTGTCAGTGATTCAACTGACTGTCGGCGAAAAGGAGGCTGCACTCAAGCGCCAACTCGAACAAAGGACTCGCCAACTCGAGTGTTGTACGGCGGTTAAATAAATGCAGGTTAATTCCTGGATGAAGTGTTTGGTCAAATTTCCAGACGGCAGACATAGTATTCTGGCAGATCATCAGCCAGCTCTGAGACGGAAAGAAGGGCAGTCTAAGAGTTTTGAAAGAAAAGTCCATAGACATGACAGAATAGGCAGATGCAAATAGGATGAGCGTGTTAGAATATCTCCATGACCAGCTAGTTGCTTGCAAGCGGTTTTGTTTTGCTAGCATCTTCTAAAACGGACATCCAGCGCGTTTTAGAAAGGAGGTTTGCAGCCAAGTGCAACGTGGCCAGCATGTCTGTCAGTGTGTCTAAAACCATAACCCCAGTGCTTTTTCATTATCTTTCCTACTGCGCTCCGCATATAAAAGGAAAACAGGTTCAAAAGTTGGCGTATCTCAGGGTCGTTTTTTTCAGTTATGGAAACGGTGGTAGATATAAATCGGCGAATCGGAATAGTCTGCTGGGTTCTTCGTGAACTACGTCGAGCGGTTGTGATTGAGGCAGAGCTGAGTCTAAAGACAAAGTGATATATGTCCATGCCGATTTTCTTATCACCGCTTAATTATTAACCCGAGTCATGGACTATGACTGAAGAACTGCACTTCGTTACATGCTTATGAAATTTGCTTTATATGACACATGGCTGGGCTGACGGGGTTCGACAGAGTCCAGAGTGCAGATATCCGATAGAGCACCGTCGCTGCTTCTCTACATGAAATATTACAGTTATAATGGAGTGCAACATCCCTGGATTTTATCAAAAATGGAGGGCAATGGGGTTACTGTCTCACAATTGAGCGGCCGAACACCTCAACAGACTCTGCTTCAGACTCGGATTAATTCCTGTCAAACCCTGAGACGTTAGTGCAGGGCCGTGAAAGTTGAAAAGAATTACTGACAGTGGTACTTTCCCGGCCAAAAATCATAAGCGGAAATTGAAATTGACTTACTCCAATTTGTTACTATAAATATCTAGCATAAGCAACTGTTCCTTGCAAATCGGATCTGCAGAAGGCCCAGGGGACTGCGAAGATTAACCTGGTGCAAATATATGGAAGGAGTCTGTTCCAGACTCTATTTGTCTTTTGCCGAAGCTCAGACTTTGGCACAGGAACGGAAACGTTGGAAGCTCTGTCTGACGCGTCTGCCTCCGTGACCCGAAAGGAGAAGCAGCAATGGAAGATGAAGATAAAGAAATATCTAGCCTTCCTAAGGAGAATATTTCATTGCAGGTACGCTGCAATGCACAATTTTGCTGAAAATAGCGGTTCACGTTGTCCCACGAATGGAATTAAAAGCCAGAAAAAGAGGCCAAACGGCAGCAGATATTGATCAGGAAAAGTGAAGGGGCGTGCAGTGTGATCGAGAAAACAGACAGGCCTGCGGATGCAGCTTTTACTTCTGGAGTGCAACAGTTTGTCCTTTAGAGCGAAAATGTTGGAAAATGATAAATGTTCTGAAACCTCAGACAGGTACATTCTGCTGATGCTCACAGCTGGCGGTTCAGAGTGCCGATAACCTTAATCGAAGCCACATTTTATTGCATTTTTCTAGTGGTGCAGTTGTATGATTTATGCCGATGCACTCGTCACATGCATTCGTGTTCGTGCATAGCAGAATTTCGTCACTGTTACATGTGCATAGGTTAAACAAATAAGAATAAGGTCTGTCGAAGCTAGCAAGCCTTTTAACACGGCAATTTGAGATACTTCGGATTGTGATCTGCGTCTTATTAAAATCGATAAATCTGAATGTTGCGGTTTCGACATATGACAATGATGCAAGCGGAAGGATTCCCAAGTCAAACTCTCTTCTTAAAGAAACATGGCAGCTCGCTGTATCCAGATTAAATAAGCTTAACGATTTGGACTGTGGCCCTTTAGAGTCAATCGGTTGAGATTGTCTGACTAACGTAGAATCACTGGCAAATAGTTCTGAAACTACTACTCCCTCAAATAATGACCTAAAAATGGATAAATGGAAAGATGGATGAAGAAACCGATGGTTTCAAATGATTCGCTACGCAATTCGTTGAAATTCTGGGGCGAACACATTGTATGCTTGGAGCCTAATGTCTATATCTACAATTTACAAAGGCATGATGAATGCATCACGCCGAATAATCTTTGCGCAGAATGGTGGCGTGATTGAAGCAGAACTATTCAAGTTAAGTGAAAATAGTTGAAAAGTCGACAAATAAAAAGAAATATGAACTGAATTAATACGCCAGTAGGATAACAGAAATGTAGAACAAAAACGATGAGAAAAGTATAACAGTAAAATTGAAATCAAGTGGATTTGTGTTAGAGAAAGATAAATCATATGAATCCATGACAACTCGCAAGTGAATAAGTAATAAAATGAAAACCATAACATTTTTGAATATATAAGCTGTCTTTTGAGGTGATAACATTGGGTCATTGATTCGCTTGGTAACGTTCATTTAGTATATGCATTCAGAGGCGCTGACTATTTTTTTAAATGCAGTTGGTAAAAAACGAATGTTTTATTTTCGATTATTGTACCAAATCACAGCTGCGATGACTTAGGCACATTTTTTGAATTCTTCAGAAAGGTAGGCAAAGCTACTGTTTCTTGCCCAACCGACCGACAGAATCCCCAGGGACCGGTCAAGATTAACCTGCTGCAAATATATGGAAGGAGTCTGCTGTAGACTCTGGCTATCTTCTGCCAAAGATCAGACGTTAGCACATGGTCGTATACGTTGGAAGCACTCCCTTATACGTCTCTATCTGCAACTCGAAAGGAAAGCGATCAGATGAAGATGAAGATTATAATACTAATGAATAAAGTTAAGAAGATGGAAGTAAAAACATCAGACATACTTCATGTCGGAAGCCAATCTGTTCTTGATTGCACCCAATGATAGAAACGTCAAATGAAGACTGATGCTGAGCCCAGGGAGCAAGTAGTTACCGTGATGAGACACATTTGCAAACCTGCTTGGCGACCAACTGCGTACTTTGCCCACCGGAGTCACGCCATTTTTATCAGAATGCCACTTCCTACGGTTATCTTGTAGTCTACAGCATGACAGGCCCGACGTGATGCAACTTTGAGTCGCTTCAACGTT